CCCAGGGGCGGCGGCGACGGCTGCCCCCGTAACGTGTCCCAGCCAAGCCCAGAGTTAAGAACCAGGCTCTGAGCGCTCTAAGATTAGGCAGCTTGCACAAACTTCATCTGAAGATGCAAAAGCTTAAAAATGAAAGAAAAATCTTACAAAGTGTTCAGCGTCCCCTGAAGGGGCAAATGTAAACAAAAGGAACACAAGGCAAGGAATGGGCCCTGGTCTCTTCCGCATGCAACTACTTGTTCAATACCTAAATTTATTTAAAAATCCCAACCAACCAACCAACCAACAAAACGCAAGGGTGTCCCTTTACCAAGGCTGCGAAGGATTTTGTTCACTCCAGTTGGTTCCGTCGCTGGAATACTCTCCAAATACTCCAAGGCACGGACCTCAAAAAGGCCTACAGAAGGGGAAAAAAAAAAATAAATAGATCACTCACCGAGATGAGCTATTTCATGTTTTAGCATCTGGCATCGTACATCATTAACAAGGAAGTTCTGAAAAGGAAATCACACGTCATGTAAGCTGCAGGATCAAGCCCAGAAAGGAGAGAGATGCAAAAATTCTCTGCATTGCAAGATGAATTCTGCTGAATAATTCAAAGGGCACGGAGCTGTTGCAGACCCCCAAATGCCAACAGGACAACTTGCCAGGACAGAGGCTTCTTAAGAGACAAAGTCATGTGACATCATCCTTTGAAAGTGAGTTTGTAAAATGAGGAAGATCAAACCTCACCTTTGACCACGCTCTTTCTTAGCTCTCGGTCCTGTATGAACCCTGCAAACATCTGCGTTTCCATGAAGAAGTGCAAGAAGTGACGCACATTGCGTGACGCGTGAGATTTACGGAACGGCTCTCGCTGAAACACCCGCTCTCCTCTCTCTGTGACATTCATGTGCAGGGAGTAGTGCCCAACGATCTCCACAAAGAACTGCACAAAAGCTTCCGAGACCAGGGAGTTAAGAGGCACGTCACCTGTGAAGAGACAACAGAGAAGGAATTTCCCTCCACACTCACCACTCTGGTCATTCATTCCTCTTCTAAAGAGGAGCAGCAGTTACTTTTTAGGCTGTCTGTCTCAGACTGTGAAATTTCAGACGAGTGTTTGATATCAAAGAATCCACAGCTCTAATATTAAGATTTATCTCCCATGTCAACTTTCTGCTGCACCTGAGACAGCTTCCATTCTAAAGCTTCTCCAGTAGTTAAAGCATCTGCAATTGCCTTTCCCCTGTCAAACATCTAGTGTCTAATAAACTAAGCTCATAACAGTCTAATTCTCTTACAGAATTAGGCAAATTACAGAACACAAACCCACTGCAAAACTAACTTTGTTACTTTCAATATGCATGGAATTACATAATTTGCCAATGTCGTTCGCTCAAACTACTCAATGCTTCTTAAAATTCTCACATTTATTTGACAGATTATGTATAAAGCAGTTCAAAAAGATCTGTCAGATTACCCTCTAAAGTACAGAAATTTGCCACGTTCTCTCTTTAAGAAAAATGTTCTGCCACTTAAGAAAAAGTACCTTGTGTGTCACTCTGCTCATGTGACAAGATTTCACTTCGTTCTTCCAAGATTTGTACAAGTGCAGCCTGGAGTTTATGAGGCAGGATCTCATCTTCATCTGATACCTAAGGAGAAAAATGGGCATAAAAGCATTTTTGTGTTATATCTATCATCAGTAGAACCTTCTCATTGTGAACAGATGAGAAATACAACATGCCTAAAACAAAGGAAAGTTATGCTGTGATATGGTGTACCTTGGTGGGGACAATACATTTGTCTTGTAGACACAGAGATGAAAAACATTTGCTCAGCACCCTCTGACTACATCCTACTGGAGTCACACACACAACTGGCCAACATGGTACAACATGTGCTACATCCACGACACAGACTCAGACTTATTATACCAGTGATAAAACACACAAGAACAACAAAGGTCTGTTGAAAAAATATGACGTCTCAACATCAGGGTTAAAAAACCTGAAATCCTTTTATACCTTTCTCCAGTTGCAGGCTGCAATGCTAAAAACAGAACAGTAAGGCACAGAAAAGGAATGCAAATAACCTCTGAACTAGGAATACTCCAGTATGTTTATAGCTACTCGTCTGGTGATGCAGAAGCACATTAGGTATCGTTCAGCAGAGAACCACAACTGAACTGTAATAATGTCTCCTAAATTATCTCTCCTGGAAAAAAAAAAAAAAAACCAACAAACACACCCCAACTAGATGAGAGAGGAGAAAGCCCTGTAGAAAACAAGTGCGCAGAAAGACAGAAAGCATCAAAGAACCTTAGCAGTGTGCTCCACATAATGAACCAGTTCAGTATCTGGTTTTAAATTCAGCTCTGATAAGCAGCATCTGTGGCTTCACAGAGCTCTGCACCTCATGCAACCTCAATCTTGCAACAAGGATTTGTAAGGCTGTTCCCTTCAATATTGGTCAAAAAAGAATGCAAGATATTTCTTCAGCCACTGGAGTCTACACATGAATACTAGCTTTTGCTGATTTCTTGTTCTCATTTGCTTTCACTGATGCCTTTTCCTGGCATATAACCACGAGTGACCAGTACTGGTATTTCACTCACCTCTTGCAAGAACTTGTCAGCACAGAGATCAACAATCAGAACCTGGGGAAAGATGTACAAAACACAGACTCTTATAACCAGGTATGTTGCTGTACAGAAAAAACCCCACTTTTTTTTTTTTAAAAAAAATGTCTCCAGTGGCAGGGGATGTCACACATTAAACATAAATTTTGCATAACTGCAGCCTGACTATAAAAGCAGTGAATATTATTATCTTTGATAACAATGGAACACCCTGACATGTATCTGGGAAGTTCATCAACAGTCTCAGAAAAGTTTAGGCGTTTATATTAAGATAGAATCAATCCACAGAGATTATACCAGAGAGGACAGCATGATTGTCCCTCCACTGTGCTTCACCCAATTCTCACCTCTTCTATGGGCAGGTCCTGGAGCTGCGGTAATGAGCAGGAGAGAATGCCAATTAAGAACGGGGTCGGAGAGCACACAATGTCAATCATGGAAGTCGGCAGGACTGGAATGTAGGTGTGTTGCCAAGTGAAGGGATAGAGCGTTGCAACTGCGGCATGGCCACATTTAGACAGAGTGCTGGAAAGGCAAGAGCAGCAGTGGATCGTGAGCTCTCGTTCAGTTCTCAGCCACAGACAGAGGTTAGAAATTCTGGGGGAAAACGTAATTCACGTACATTGTTTATGCAGCAGCAGAAGCCCCATGCACCCCCTTTTAAAGTCAGTTACAGGGAGCTCGGAATAGCATCAACCCCAACTACTGAGGTAAAGGAAACTTTCCCTTATCTCCTCTTGGGTAAATATCATACTCCAAATTCTAAGCATGCACATGTTGTGTGGAAAGTCTGCAAACAGCTTTTGAAGGTAACTATTTACAAAAAGTTAGACAAGCTTGCACATGAAACGGGCAGAATCAAAACCAGTACCCCTCAGGGATAACTAGTCACTCAGAGCCATTTCTTACCTTAAGTTGTCAGCAACAAAGACCACCCTCCTTTCCAGCAGGAGAGAGGCAAAGACCCGGATCAGGTGAGAGACACTCAGACACTCAAAAAGGCACTCAAAGTCCACATGCTCGAGTCGGGAATCCAGCGGGCGGCAGAGTTCCATCACCTGCGGGCAGGCAGAGGCGCTCAGTGCGGAACCGGTGGCTCCTCTTGGGCCGAAGCCCGTGCCGGGGCGGCGCACAGGGGGCTCCCAAGCAGCGATTCCTCACAGAGCAGGGAATCGCCCCCACGGTAGGTGATCCAACGGGAACCTGGTTTCTACCACAGCCTCCCTTGGGGCTTTAGGATCTTCAGACTGATGATTTACAGGTGGCATCACTCTGCAAGGCGGTTTGCAGATGGCACTAGGCCCCAGGGACCCCGCACAGGAGAGGCAGTCCATCCCTGATCTCCCTTACCTCATTTCCTGCTCCTGGCAGGAAGCTCCTCACAGTAATTGTTCGTCCAGGAGCAGGGAAAGGTGCCTCCATTACACTGCGCATGAACGGGTGCACTAGGGCTGGAGACATCTCTCGCCTCTTCTCCACTTCATCTAAAATCTGCAAGAAAATACATCAGCCATTGGTTCAATCTCTGCTGGTGAGCCAGAGGAGATACAACCCGTGCCATAGCTACATGTGAAGGCTCCAACACAGACTCACAGCCCTCTCCCCCCTCGCTTGGGATCCCTCTGAAAGCTCATCTCAAACCTCTGAACAATCAAATGGGAGTAGATACCTGTGAGTACAACTCTCCATCCTCAAAGCCAGTCTCCTGCTACTGCAAGGAAACTTGTGGGAATCAAATTCTCACCACGAGTTAGAGGAGTAAGAGGAGCAGCACCCCATCCTCCCGCCAAGAAATCTTTCTGAAACACTGTTCTAGAAACTGTGCTCCAATGATTAGAAATCAGCTTCCACCATCAGCTTGCCCCTGTATTCTTCTGCAATAGCTGCCCTTTATCTGCAGTAGCTCTCCCCAGACTTCAGCTCTTTATCTACTCTCCTCATGGTGCTAGGAGAAACAAGGCGAGACCTCCTCCCTGACCCCCACCCCGCCCCAAATCTTCCAGTTCCAAGTCATGGAAGAGGATGAAAGGGCACCATCACTAATATCAGGTATTAGAAGCCACTTCCTAACAGTAATTTGCTGAAGGAACAGTAGTCTGTGTATTGGCTGACAAGTCCCTGCAAGGAAGCGCTGCTCTCCCAGGATGAGTTACAGTCACTAAACCGTTCTGAACTGGACAGAAGCATCCAGTTACTTTCTGGAGCAGACTCAAGTCTGCTAAGAAGTGAAGGCTCTCCCCACTTCACCTTGGAGAAGAGGTTGAAGCAGCCCAGGTGGCTGACGATGCAGTACACCTCAGGGAGCCGCTTCCCCTTCCCTTCGGGCTGAAAGGCAACAAGAACAGTTATGCTCAGAACAGGGGTACAGTAAAGAACTTAGCACCTACACTGCAGCTGATCCACAGAACTCCTGCACCTCCTCTACACTTCTGACTTAAGTTTCCCGAGGAACAACCAGTTCCTGGAGCTGTCTTTCAACCAGAGCCCATTTCCCTGTACTGCTGGGCATCAATCGGTGCCTGATGAATTTGGTGGCCTTCTCCAATGGGGTCACAGCACTGGTGGGTAAGGGAAGAGCAACTGACGTCATCTACCTGGACTTGTGCAAAGCATCTGACACTGTCCCCCGTGACATCCTTGTCTCTAAACTGGAGAGACGTGGATCTGATGGATGGAACCCTCGGTGGATCAGGAACTGGCTGGAGGGTGGCTCTCAGAGAGCGGTGACGAGCTGCGTCCTCAGGGTTGGGGCTGGCACTGGCGCCGTTTGACATCGTTGTTGGGGACGTGGACAGTGGGAGGGAGGCACCCTCAGCACGTTCCCCCGACACTGAGCTGGGTGTGCGGGGACACACTGGGGGAAGGATCCAGCCAGAGGGACCTGGGCAGGGGGGACGGGCAAACCTCATGGAGTTCAACGAGGCCAAGGACAAGGTCCTGCCCACAGGTTGGGGCAATCCCCAGCACAAATCCTGGCTGGGCGAGGAGGGGATGGAGAGCAGCCCCCAGGAGAAGGACTTGGGGAGGTTGGGGGGTGGAAAACTGACTGTCAGCCAGCAAAGTGCACTGGCAGCCCAGAAAGGCACCTGTGGAAGAAATTGTTCCCTGTGAGGGGGGTGAGGCCCTGGCACAGGTTGCCCAGAGCAGCTGTGGCTGCCCCCTCCCTGGCAGGGTTCAAGGCCAGGTTGGATGGGGCTTTGGGCAACCTGGGCTGGTGGAAGGTGTCCCTGCCCAGGGCAGGGGGTGGGGATGGATGGTCTCTAAGGTCCCTTCCCACTCAAACCCTCCTGTGAGTCTCTGATCATCACACTCCTTCTCTCACGCGTTCCTCAGCAGCAGCACAGGTGCTACGTAACCCACATGGGGAACCACTGCTGGTTCACACCCTGCACTTGACTGTGATTTATTAGTGTGCCCTTTACATTCCACCCAATACACAGATGCTTACCAGGAGCTTCTTGCAGTACCCAAACCAGCGGCTACCATCCTCCCCCGTCAACACAAAAGAAAATGTTTCACTGGGGAACCAAAGAACAGTCAGGGTTAGATTCACCATGCAGCTCAGAGAAGAGAGGCACACAGACTATAAGCCATTCTCCTCCTGGTCACACTGAAGACCTCCTGCTGTGGTTAGCAAGCTACTTCAGGCTCCGTTCAGTGTAAAAACCTGCAGCCCATGGACTCTGAGCTGCAAGCACCTTCCTCCCTTCCTTCCCAGCTGCTTCTTCATTCTGCCAAGGAGCAACATAAGCACTTGCCAGCCCTGGGAGCTGGCCCTGAACAGATATTACAAACCTCCTTCTTACAGGAAGGACGGTGCTTGGGCAGAAGCAGCACTTCTAATCCACCTCCACACCTCATCTTTCCCGATCACAGGGGATGGGCATTCAGCCCTTCCCGTTTTTCCTTGCTCTGGCTGCAGTTTCTCTGTTCCAGGAAACTGGCACACACCTAAACTTTCAGCATTGCCATGTTCAGGCATGAGTACTCGAAAACAAGACTTTACCTTTTAAGGTGTGATACAGGAAACCAGTCTTTGGGATCTGGAAAGCAGAATCTGGGAATGACCTTTAGCCTCTCTTCAGTATCCTTTGACTGTCTGAAGGGATGTTCAGGCTGGAGAGGTAACACATACATTTGAAGTCACTGAAGTGTGGTGCACAGCTGCAGCATTTAAAACAACCAGCACACAGCTAATGCACAAGTATAGGAGAACATATTCTGCCTGTAACAGGTTTCCAGTTCCCTCTTGCACCTTTTCTGCTGATTGGACCTTTGTAAAAGTACCCAGCTGGTTTTGGTAAGAGCTGAGTGCAGATTTACAAGCATGGCCAAGTTTATTGGGGACTGAAGCTAGAACTGACGCCCCAGATGACAGTTGTGTCTGCTTGCCTTGGTTCTATTCCTAGGAGATTTGAAGAAACAAAGAGAAACAAGAACACTTTCAGCTTGTGATGTGCAGATCACTCCTGATTCCACTGCAAAACCAGGGTATCTGAACCCATGTTCCAGTTACCACACGTGGGCTCAAGTCAAATCCCTCAGACTACAGGACAACTTTCCATGCTCAGAACTGCCCAGAAGGGGCAAAAGGAAGGTCTTCAAATAAGAGAGATCACATTTAAGTAGGAAATGCCCCTGAGAAGAGGCAAGCTTATTGCATAAAGCTGATTTTCAACACTGCACTCTGTCAGCTCAGCTAGGCTATTCCAGTGTTCCAAGTGGTGACAGCATGGAGTGGTTAGGAAAACAGTACAGCATTTTCACAGAGTAGCAGTTGTATAAAAGCTTTGATGTCCTTGGGCATGAAGCCCAAAGAAAAGGGTGACAAGCAGATTACTTGGAAGCAAGGATATTTTTAGAAGGGAGAAAAATCTGTAATCAGAACACTTCCATAATTATTGGGCAATGTTTCCTGCAAAATCCCAACATGATAGGCTGTCCTGCATAAAGTCACTCACCAAAACACTTTGAGCAAAGCATAAATAAACAATGAGAAAATCATTAGTTTTGTTAGCGCATTTATAAAAGCTAGTAATGAGCCACATGGTGCAGTTGTGTCTGTCTGCTAGGGCATCAGGAAGAGTGCACTGCCCTTCCCAAAGGTGATGAACAAATTGAGAGGCTGCACCAGGAAAAAAGCTGAATCTGGCTCCAGGCCTTCTTCCTCCTAACAGCCTAAAGTCTGCACTTTTAGCAGATATTATTTATGTACATTCAGTCTTACCCACTAAATTAAGACTGTGCACTCTTTCTGGTTGTAGTCCCTTATTCATTTGTGAATCCAAAACATCGACACAATTAAGACACTCGAGCTGTCTGCACACACAAATCCCTTACGGGTCCTGAGGGAGTCCCACGGAACCTCCCTTAACGAATCCAACATCTCCTTCTCTATTTGGTGACGTGCAGATTCCTTAATGATGTCTGGCTTACTCCTGACACCACAGCCAGCATTACTGGTTTTGTTCTGGTTTTTAGTGGAAGGCAGCAGGTACAAGCCTAGATGGTGACAACTGAATATTCATTTCAATCTGGAACCATAGGAGCAAGCATCAGGGCTCCATCCTCTTAGCTCCACAGTAACTACAGACAGAAAGAAAGCTTATTTCAAATGGCTTGTTCTAGCTAGAGTACTTTAACTTCCACAGTTCTCCTCAGCTTTCTGGGGGCTAGTACACATGGCTCTGCCATTTTAATTTTTTTTTCCCCAGAACAGTATAAATAAGCAAAAAAGCCCTGAGATTCCAGTTCCTGTGCACCATCAAATTGCTTGACTGATAGTTTACAAATCACAGACTATGGGATGAGGTCATGCCAGCATTGCAGTCCCTCTCCTCTCCTGCAGGCTGCCTCAGCAATGTATCACAGTACAGTTTGGCTTTGTAGAATTTCCAGGCAATTAGAACTAGAGTAGGAGCCTTCCTAGTTCCAAAATCAGGACAGTAAAGTCATTGAGACAGACATTCAGCAGCTGCCCAGCACTACACGTTGGGTCTGTAACAGGGCAAGGTGCTCCATATTCCAAGGCTGCATCCTAAGTGGTGGGCCAGCTTCAACTAGTATAACGTTTAGGAAGGGATACACACTGCGAGAGGAAACAAGCAGCTACTGAGTGTGTTTTGTGGGCAGGGTTGCACACAGCTCCTACCTTGCTGGGAAACTGCTGTATGATCTGTGGCGTGTACATCATCTCAGATGCCTTCTTGTGCAGCGACACCACCACAAAGAGCTCAAAGAGCCGCTGCTCCTGCAGCTCAATCAAATCCCTCTCCAAAGTCTGGTAGTGTGGGTTCCTCCTGGAGGCGGACGGCACCTGCAGCAGGCTCCTGTGCTGACCTGCGGAAAGGAACAAACCCAAGAGAGGGCTTTAAGCTAAAATTGCCAGGGGAGGGGAACCTCAATCCTTCCCACTCCTACCAGCTTGATGCCAGTAACAGATGCTCAAAGCCTGCAGGAGGTCCCAGGACAGCAGCAGAGCACCTGAGGAGCAGCACAAAGGAATTCCAGCCAGTCAGCTTCACCTAGGCCCAACTTACCTGACTGTGCAAATGCGCATCGTGTGGGGAACAAACAAGAGGAGCTGGAGACATGGGCACGCCTGCAGGGCTACGATCTATCGGAATCGGGGAGCCGTGGGGGGTGGCTCCTGTGCCTGGAGTGTTTGGATGGAAGGACACAGGCTCTTTAGGAGGGACAGACCAGGGAGAGGAGGAGGAGGAATGTCACCCTCTGTGCCAGTGCCAGCTGGAGAGCAGGGAGCTCTGCCTGGGGTGGGTGAGGAGCCGACCCAGGTCAGCATTAAAGGGAGGGCAGGGCCAGGAGGTGTTACAGTGGGGGCTGCTCCAGGACCCCGACAGGAAAACCGAGATGAGGCTCTCTACAGACAGACTGGAGCAGCCTTATGGTTTGTTCTCACCAACAAGGAGGGGCTGGTGGGGAGTGTGAAGCTCATGGGCAGCCTTGGCTGCAGTGACCATGAAATGGTGGAGTTCAAGATCCTGAGGGCAGCGAGGAGGGCACACAGCCAGCTCGCTACCCTGGACTGCAGGAGAGCAGCCTTGGGCCTCTTTAGGGATCCAACCCAAACCATTCCATGAGTCTACAAAAAACAGGCAGTGGCTATCACGGCCCCACACCTACAGAAGATGACTCGTCACCACCTGCAGAAGGGGGAATAGAGGTGGGTGCATTTGCCTAACACCACTGCTGTGCTCCACAGGACCTGGCTTCCCGTGTCAGCTCCTCAGGTACGGCCGTTCCGGGCAGGGCAGCACTGGCCTTGCAGCAGCTTTGCCAATGCCTCTTGATCAACAGCCACCGTTCTCCTGCTGTCCTCACATTCCTTCTGAACATCTCAGAGTGGCACACTGTGGTACCAATGAGGGAAGCCCAGCTGTGATAAGCAGCCCAGTTCCAGCAGTTCAGAAACTGCCAGGCCTCAGGCAGCTGCTCTGTAAAGCAGCACGGGCATTCACAGAGTCAGAGCCAGAAACCTCCAGGCTGGGATGTCCTGACAGGCAGTACAGACCCACAAGCACAGGCACAGCACTCTGATGTAAGAAATTCCTGTTGCCCAGGCACCATGACACTTTCTGGACACTTTGGAAACAACTCTCAGATCAGGCAGTGACTCAATCACTATTTCTGCAGAGATTCTTCACACTCTCTTACTCTCCTTAACATAAAAAAGTGGAACTTCATTCTTAGCTCCAAGTTAAGGCCTTCTGTGTGCTTCCCTCCAAGTCAATGCAACGTCTGAAACCATTCTGTTGGTCCTTTTGGCTAGATGCTTGCTTAGAGACATGACAGAGTCACTCATCAGGGCTGCTGGCCAACCATTACCATTTCACATTCAAACCTTACCAGCACAGAAACTAAGACCACTTTGGTGCTTTCCACACCAGCTAAAACCAATTAGGTATTTCAAGTCTGTAGTTTAGGCCTACGATCAAACTCAGGACTGTGGAACCAGACAAATAACTGAGTGATTTCTCCTCAGAGGAGAGAGCATTTCACAACATTATACATATAAAACAGAATCAAGGGAAGGAAGCAGGGGGAAAAAAAACCTTAAGTGTTAGCACTAAGGGTGATCCAGGGACAGTCTCCTGCAAGACATATTTTAGTTAAGTGTGACTCCACCAACCCAAAAATGAATCAGCTTCTAGTGATGGGCAGATTAATGGCATTAAACCTCAAGGGATCAGGAGAGGTGGCAGAAATAGAGGTTCATTTGTCACAGCAACAGCTCCCAGCCTTGGCCATGCTGCCTCTTAGATGTTCCCTTTTTCTATCTTGGCAGAAGCCACAACTAGGCAGTGTGCTTATCCCATCAGAGCCTTAGCCAAACGCGTAGTGCTACGGGGACAGGACCTGCCCCTCTCATTCACTCACTTTTTGGCTGATTTTCCGTATCACTTTCATTCCCACTGGTTTCACCTGAAACACACATAGTTTTCACTTATTAGCCATGCAGAAGTAAGATGGGCAACACCCAAAGTTGGGAAAGAACTTTAGACTCATCAGACTGACACCACCCAGGGCTGCCCACCCACCAGCAAAGCATCAGCAAAGAAGAGCTCGTACTGGCCAACATGCTACAACAGTCAATCTCAACAAGTGGAGTCGATATCAAGTCATTGTTTCCAGTAAACCACCTGTAGGTCAGCTCAATGCAGGCAAAGAACAGAAACCAGGTGGTTATTTGATGCTGCTATAAAAGTTAAGAGAGTTGCTGAACAGAATATACTGTAAGTAAAGACCATACCATGGCTACAAAAATCAGAGGAACACAAGAATATCACTTCAGAGGCACAAAAGCGATGAGTGGAGTATTGAGAAGTAGTTCTCGTGCCAAGAAGTTTAGTGGGGAATTTGGGGGTTGGTTTTGCTCTTTTGAAAAAGCACTTTTAACCAGTAGCCCAGCTCTTCAAGCTCAGATCGTGGCGGACTCTTCCGTTTGTGGCAGCGTTAAACACGGGTTAGGCCAGCGCTCCCAGTCCTGGCAGTGCTGAAGCTCAGCGGTTCCAGCAGCTGGACACGGGGCTCAGCATGGTCAGCTCAGCCAGGCAGGAGCTGCAGTTGGTGCCAGACAGGAGCCGTGTGCTCGGGAGGTTTACAGCAGAGAAGGTGCTGGAGACCTCTCTACCTTTCACTGGAGGCACTTCTCTCCCGGTGGGGCTGAGCAACCTCACCCTCTTCTTTCCACGCTTAGAATCAAAGATGTCCTGTATTTTCAGTACCAGCTGAAATCCAAAGCAGAAGCAGAGGTTAATGTGGGGGTCCAGAAAAGGGTCCAGGTGCCAAGAGGAGCAGAGCCCAACTGCTGCCATCTTAGCACCACAACACCTGGGACAGGCAGCCCAAGTCCTGGCAGAGGCGCTGGCTCAGAGACTGCTTGTAGAATACTTTTAGCACATCTCACTGGATAATGAACGAGCACAGAATTACTGCAAGCACAACCCAGAGCTGACACCAAACCATACAAGCACTCTGGAAGTTGCCACACTTCGCTTACCAAACAGGCAGCAGAAGCAGCAAACTGGCATCAGATCTCGATTTTCTATTAAAGAGGCAAACTGCAAAGGCACTTGGAAGAATATCTTATAAACTCTCCACCACAAAGGACTCTGAACTCTGCATGCTCTTAAGCATCTCAATTTTTTCCAAGCCCAGAGACAGCAGAACCCTCTCAACACAGCTTGGGGTTTGTTTAAGTTTGCTGCTGCAGTTGGGAGTCAGACAGATAGAGGAAGTTCATCAGAGTACCATGTCGGGCACAGAACACAGCTGCTCTAAGCACTTGTCCCAGGCTAGCTCACTAAAATGAAGGGATTAGGTACTTCCATCGTGCAGAGCTGAAGACAGACAGTGGGACAGAATAGTGGCTCTATGGTGCAGGGACACTACAGACCTGGTCCACTGGAGGAAAAAATTTGGAAGAAAACATAGCCCAGGTGCAGAGAAAGCTACAGATATGAAAGAAGGGTCAGCATTATGACACTCCAGCTCGATGCCGTTAACCTGCCTTCCACCGGTCACAACCTTAAACCAAGGCCCTGACGCTCTCTGTTACCCTGGGGCAGGCCTCTCTGGACTCCCCCCAGGTACACAGTGCTGCAGGTGGCTCCTGGATTCGCATGTCAAAGACAGCTCCACCTCACTGTGAGGAAGGATTTACACTAACTGCAGCGAACAGGTCAAGTTCTTTCTTGTCTCAAGTGAAGAATTCATTAACTGCTCTCACTGAACATAGGAGGGTGGGGTCCAGCCATTTGTCACCACAAATACTGCATAAAAAGGAAGATATTCAGCAAGAGAACCTGTTTTTCGGCTCAAGCCTTTATCCTCACTCAGCTCAGCAAACTAGGCTTACGCTCTTCTCCTTTTGAGATCTATTTCTCACCATTTTTTGCTGCTAGCCAGTCCTAGCTCGAGAAGGCTGCAAGAAGAAAACAGTCCGCAGCAGAAAGCAGTGCTTCTGCAAAATTTGCCTTCTTTCCTTCTACCGTCCAGCCTTACCTGGACGATTTCTATTTCTGCTCTGATTTTTGTGCAGCCAAGTCATCAGTGAAAGATATTGGGTGTGTTTAAGGCAGTTACGTGTTTCTTAAGCAGTAAGTTTCTTTTTAGACTTCAATGTTTTTCTCAATCTCTAGAACAATCCTGGCTCAATTCCTTGTGAGCAAAAAAAGTGTGCTTCCTGCATGTAAATTGTTACCAGATTTCTGGAATAGGTTTGCTTCTGGAGAAATGAAAGATACTGTCCATCACAGCATTTTCAGTCTTGCCATCTCCTTCCTGATCTTCCAGGCCTACAGTCTGTTTAAAAACACATACAGAAGCTGCTTGTTACTCTAAAGTACTTAATATGTGAAAAGTATTTTGCAGCTGTCCAACTCTACCTCAGTCTTGTGCAATTTAAGCACATACACCCAACTTTCACTAGAAATACAGATCTGCAGAATTTAAATGATTTTACCACGTTAAAGTAAGTTGTTGCTGCTACCACAACTGGAATTTGAGTCCTGTGCACAGTCACTACAGCAGTACCTGCCCTTCTAGAGCACCTGCTGCATTTTATCACTGACGGACATGAGCTTGTAACCAATGCCAGTATCTAGGAAGATTCCCAGTGCATCAAATGAGAATTACAACTCTGTGTGAGGGTGGATTAAAAGCCTTTCTCACTCCTCTGGCCTCAGAAGCATATCTGCCTTTGCATGCAGGTGGGAGGGGCAGACAGAGGCACCAAAGGGGAGAACTCTGTGAAACACACTTATCCCTAAAGGCTGCAGGAAACAGCTGCAGGGGCGTGTTCCTGATGGCAAGTCAAGAACTCCAAGCCAACATACCAAGAACCAAGGGCCCAGCCAGCTCCCCACAGCAGCCCCAGGCTGTCAGCCATCTACCAGCTCAGCGTCTGCCACGAGAACATGAGGGTCCGTCTGAGAAGTCACCAGGAGTAAGGGACACGTACACACACTCGTGCAGAGCTGGCCCTTGATCTCACAGAGAGCTTCCTTACATCCCCACACCGCGTCCAGCACAAAGCCAGCACCACTGCACTTCATGGAAGCACTGGAAACAAGGCTTAAATGACAAAGCACAGGGAAGAGCTACTATTCACACACAGCACTGATCTCCAGGTCAACACCTAGCACTCTGCAGACTCTTGGCCAACAAAACCACCACTGCCCCAACTACAACTGGCACAGGGTTTTGATCCCCAAAAAACTTGGGAGGGGAAATGGCTCAAGCAGGGTCACTCGTCACACACAGCAGTGCTAACCAGCATTCACCTCCAGGCACACAGCTCTGCGACCACTTACAAAGCACTCAAAGGTGCTAGACAAAGCAGCAAGAGTTTGAAATGCCATGCAAGAAGTAATGTTTCATGCTTAAATCTCACCCAGGGCAAATTCTTTCTCCTGCTAGCAGCCTCTACTGCTTGGAACAGCTTCCACTCGGTCAGTGTGACAGGCAGGGTCGTGTCCTTCAGCCTTTTCCCTTGGAAACCTGTCTGGGAGGGCTTTAGCTCAAGAGTCTTGCGACTGAGGAAAGGAGGCTTAGGGAGAGGCTAGAAAACAGAAGAGATGGTTAAGCATGGGGTTAAGCTTTTGTCTAAGCTCAGAGTCAAAGGAGTCAGACCACAAAGTATAAACTCTCTGCAGCCTCCTGCTCTACCAAGATCTCCATCCCACCCCAACCCCCCACACTCAGGCATCTCATCAACACTCTCTTGTTCCTGTTCTTTTGCTCCTTAACAGCTTAATCAACTGCCACTGCCATGGCTGTTCATTATCATTTACATTAATAACAAACAGTAAAATATAGGAAACCCAACGACGCAGGAGTGGGGAAAGCGGGGCCAGGGAGGATCACAAAACAGGCCCCTTGTGAGGACGAGTCTCTGTAAACACGTGACAATTTCATCCCCTCACCCTACCTTGGGAGCCTGACAAGTGCTGCGGGGGGGCGGCAGCTTCCAGACAGACGGGACCTTCCACAGGGGTAAGGGCAGCGCTCTGATATCTTCATAGGGGTTCTCTTTTGCAGGACCTGGAAAGAGCATTGGACAGGGGATCTGTGAAAGGAGAAACAGTCCTGCATTCTCGCAAGGGACGTAAGCAGGAAGAGTTGTCTGCCGAGCTGTAACAGGGTCTGAGAGACCTGTTTAAAGATGGAAGAAGTTCCCACCACTCAAAGATCCTTCTAACTCACTACCATCAACTAGGCAAGCTGTACAGACTCAGCAAAACAAAACACTTTACCACTGCAGAGAAAGTAGCTGTATTGCAAAGCAGCTAATTTCGTCAGTGTTCACACTGACCTCTGTGCAGCGCTTGAGCATTTGAAGAGCTAATAAAGAAATCAGTCTAACACAGGCCGATCGTAGCGACCCTTCATGACATCTGAAATCAGGATGTTCACATGCAAATAGTTACTAACATCAACAAAGAGCTGGAAAGGCCCTCAATGCATTCTCATCTTCATTACTCCCTCCCCAGCAAATTTGCTACCCTTAAATAAAGCGAGTGCATCCCCCAGAAGTACAGGCACGTACAGATAACGTCCTCGTAGATGTTGTCTTCTGACTGTGTGCACACAAGCCTGGATCCTGTAGTGCCATTTGTCTCTTCTCGAAGTCTGTGGGAGTTGGTGGTTGCCATCCGCTTGCGGAAGCCCTGGATGTCCTCAAACTCAAAAGATTTCCTAGAGGAAAACCAGTGTAACTTCCGCTAAAGGCACCTGCATGTACCAGTGAGTTGCTGTCTCCAGTCCACAGAGTATGGTCCTGCCTGGGGCCACCGAGCACATGGATGCTCCACTCCGGACTCTCCGATTTCCAAGCACTGAGGTTTGACCCCAGCTGGCAGCTCAGCCCCACACAGCCACTCGCCCGCTCCCACCCACTGGGATGGGGAGAGAATCAGAAGGGCAACAGCGAGAAGACTCATGGGTTGAGATAAAGACAGTTTAATAGGTAAAGCAAAAGCTGCACACACAAGCGAAGCAAAACAAGGGATTCTTTCCCTGTTTCCCCTCGGCCAGGACAGCCGGGCTCTATCACACGTAACGCTGACTTGGGAAGACAAATGCCGTCAGATGTCCCTCCCCTCCTCCTTCTTCCCCCAATTTTTATTGCTGAGCACAACATCATTTGTGTGGAATATCCCTTGGGTCAGTTGGGGTCAGCTGTCCCAGCTGTGTCCCCTCCCAACTTCTGGTGCACCCCAGCCTGCTCGCTGGTGGGGTAAGAAGCAGAAGAGGCCCTGAGGCAGCGTAAGCACTGCCCCGCAGTAACTACAACGCTGATGTGTTATCAATACTATTTTTATCACAAATCCAAAACCTAGCACCACACAAGCTACTATGAAGAAATGAACTCTATCCCAGCCAAAACCAGCATACCAAGCAAGGGAGATTCTTAAAGCACTCTGGGAGATTTTTAGATTAAAAATTAATTCAGAGGCTCCAAGCAGGTATGGCGAGTACCGTCCTGTCACAGAGGCAAGAACCTAAAACACGTTTCGCAGACTAAGCACTTGCAGCAGAACTCAGAATTCAGGGCACTGCTTTCTTCTGGATTTCTCCTACTGCTTATGCTAAGGGTGTTACCGCATTTGTGAGTGTGCATTTTCATACACTTGCTCTCTGTTTCAAAATTATGGCACAGAGGTCACAAAGGAGCTGGTAGGGATTTAGCTCATCATCATAAAATCTGGTTTGTTGCTGCATGCTTTGCCACAGTGAAAGGTTCCCACATTTCCACCTGCAATGTTCGTGCTACTCTCTAGCACAGCTGCCCTAGTCAGTTCAACTGCAAGCAGAACTAGCTAGCCCAGACGTTTTTTACTCTGTAATGGGGATCTACATACAGGAAAGAGGGAAGAATAGCCAAACACACAACAGGGGTACCCACAGCTGACAGCCTCCAGTTTTAAGCAAGAGAATCGTTCACTCAGAGGAAAGCCGGAACATTTAGCAGCCACACTGCCCAAGAGAAAGCTATTCTGTCATCCACAAATCGCAGCTGAGGGCAAGCTCAGCGCAAGAAGCAGGCAGTACTCTCCCTGGGGCCAGGATATTCACCCAACTCTGTTCTAAGATGTGGGATGGACGTCTGTTTGGAGCTTTTAGCCTTCCTTTGCAAGATTATCAGCAGCAAAAGCAGTGCATACACAATGCTGGAAAGGGGAAACATTCATCCAGAAACATCCTCTCCCAATCAACAGAGGCATCATCAGTACCAGCACGTCCGCAAGACTGTTGTGGCAGGCAAGCTGTTCAAACCCATCTAGAAACTGATTTAAGGAAACGCGTTTCAGACATGAGAGATGAATCAATGTACCTCTGGGTTCTCCCTCTGATCCTCCTGATGGCTGTTCTCTTCTCAGGATTGTTGGAGGATAACACCAAGTCTCCTCCATGCTGCTTTTGCAGGGAAGGTTCCCTGGTAGCACGGGGATTGCTACAGCTCCTAGCACCCTTTTCTGCAAGATAGCAAAAAGTCCTACGGGGCTTGGGTGGTGGGACAGCAGCTGGCCCCTCCTTGTGCCCCTCAGCCTCAGAGTAAATGTTTTTCAAGCTCCTCTCTGCCCTGCAGAGAGAGTCCACTCCTTTAAGTTCTCCTGTGGAGCCACAGCTCCCCTGCTTCCTCTGAAGCTCCAAGGGAACTGGTGGGGCTTTGCCAGGCAGAAGGGGACCTGCTCTCCTCCACAGAGCTTGTGAGGTATAGAAGTTCCCTGGGGGCAGTGTCACCCCTGGGTCCAGGAAGCCTGCTTGACACTCTCCTTCCTCTTTGGCCTGGGAAGGTCTGAGGTCACCACAGTCATCAGTGTGCACGCAGCTCCGTGCATCTTCCCTGAAGTCCAAGCCCAGGCTCCTTGGATCTTTGGACCTAGTTTTCCCACCTTTCTCCGTATGTTCTGACTTCACTTTGGGTAGAGCATCACAGCTGGGATCATACTTCACTCCAAAGTCCTTCAGCTGTTGCTTCTCCTTGCTGGAGCACCCTTGTGTCCTCCCCTCCCACTGGGAGATCTTCTGTTTGATGTTGCGGCAGTGGCTGCGGGAGAGGGTCTGCACAGCAGAGCGGGAGAAGCCACTGTCCACCGACCCTGCTGGGTGCATGGCCAGTGCCAACGTGCTTACGAACCCCCCATCTCCAGCCTTGTCCAGGTCTGCCCGTGCCCTGCACACATCAAGCTGGCACAAGGCTCCAAAGCACCCAGCGGTGTCCAAGAGCCCCTGGGCGTCAGCTCCGCAAGGCCAAAGGCAGCACGACCTGAGGACAGAAAGAAGAAAAGAACCATCAGCTGTGCTGCAGCCATACACACCACCGGGCGCTCCCAGCTGCTCTCTGGCAGTTGCTGAAGAACATTCCTCCCCAAATCACATGCTCAAGACTGGCTTCCAGAGCACACTCCACACAAAGCTTGTCTCTGTAGCACACATCTGGGAGGACTAACAAAAGGAAGTAGAGGTCTCACTGGCTTCAAAAACAAACAAAACACCACAACAGGAACAAAAGACAGCCAAGGATCCCAAGGGTCCAAACTCAAGCAAATTATTTAATGGCACAGGAACACAGCAGCATGGCCTGTGTGCAGCAGAGCTCTCAGCCAGCCCCTCTGCCGCTTGCTTGCACCAAGGCAGGCTGGGCAGGAGCGCCCGGCCCCTCCTGACGCTCTGGACTGCTCAGAGCACCTCAGGCAGCACACAGCCAAGCCACTGCAGCACAGCGTCTCTACCAGGGCTCTCAGCACAGCAGAGGCACAGCAAGGTACATGATACCACGTGAACTCTACAGAAAGGGAACCACATCTACTTCTCCAGAGTCAGGAGCAGCAGGATGGCTGCTACTTCACACAGGAGGACTACGACAGCTGCGATGACTGGAGAAGAGTCCGACTGCACTCCTCCTCCCTGAGGTGGTCTCCTGCTGCACAACACAAGTAAAAATCTGTCTGATGTTCTGCTTGTCAACACCTGACCTAAACTTACCATCAGAGAGACTGGAGGGCAGTGGTGCCCAGCCTGTGGCCTGCAGCCAGGGCGACTTTTAAAAGGCATTCAACAGAGGCCAAAAGGCACAGGCAACTGGTGCCTTCTCATGCTCAGGAGGAAAACAGCCCTGTGTTTAGATCAGCAGATGAGAGGGAATGCTAAAGAAACACTATGACTTCTCATACCCAAGCAGAACCTGCACAAACTGGAGCTATGCTATTTGAGACTACCCCAACAGAGAATCCAGAGGATACAGCAAACAGTCCTGCAGATAGTCCTGTGGCAGGAAAGGCAGGTGAAACCACCAGGGAGAACCTGGGTGGCTGTGTACAGACCCAGCACCTGCAGGTCCGGTATGACTCAATACAGAGACATTTTGTATGTGGAGTCTCCAGCCTCGGAGCCCTTCGGCTCTACCCATAGCTCACAAAGCATCCCCAATATTCTCAGATACACAGCATGGTTAAAAACTCCTCTTGGACAGAAGACAGTTGTCCATAGGCTCTAATATGCTCTGTTCCTCCCTTTCTCCAAGCAGCTACCCCATTTCAGAAGTTCCAGCTCTCCGGGTCTATTCAACATTCTCCATTTGTACCAGGAGACAAGCACTCAGCAAAGCTGAGGCTCAGGCCAGGTCGCTATGCAGCAAGCCTGCTCACGCTGGCTTCAATTAACATTTCCATGGCACTAAGAAGTCTCTCTGCAAAAAGTAGAACAAGAGCAGCAAGCAGACCGCTTCCACACATGCGGCAAAACCAGAGAACTCCTACAGAAAGCAAGCCAGACCCACTCCAGGTGGGAACGCGGGCCATAGTCAGACAAGGCCTGTGCTCAGGCTCCGCCTGACAGATCCAGGCAGCTCTCACTGCCAAAAACTGGGTACGTGTCCTCCAAAGCTGCTGTTACGACATCCAGTCTTCATTGACTCACCAGAGCCTGTAAGAATCTGCAGAACCAAGGACAGGAAGCAAACCGAGCTGGAAGAGAGAGAAGCTTTAACCCTGCCTGGCAAGGGTTCCTGCCCCACGCACCAGGCTGGGCATGGAGAGCCCCTGTGAGAGAGGCCCGCAGCCCTCCCACCATTGACACCGCACCTCAAATTCCAGAGCTCCAGCACGACAGGCTCCAGCACTGGCACTGCTGAGCCGCCTGGCAGAGGCGTTTGTAGTGCAGTTAAAAGAAAAGCACTGGCCTTGGCAGACCTACCCGATACAGTTAGTGAGAAAGCTCATGGACGTAGGACAGCCCAGGCTCCCCGAGCAAATCAGAGATGGCCTGGGCACAGCAGCACCTCGGCTGCACTGTCACACTCTACCAGAGCAGCCAGACACTGCTGCCTGTCTCCAGGGGGAGCAGTGTGGGTTCTTGAAGCCTGGCATTGCTTATCACACTGTCCCGGGCAGCTGCCGGTAACTCTCCCACTCAGCCCTGAACGGGCTAACCTCGGACAGTCTGGGCAGGCAGCTGCACTGGGGATATTAGCTGCACCATCAGCGTCCCGCCGCGTCCCCGACGCCTCCATAGCCGCCCCGCTCCTGCCTGCGCCTGGCACGTCTCTGAAGCAGCGAGGCGACGCTGCTGCTAGTGCTGATGGCACTGTGGCTCCAGCGCCAGCCCCAGCATGGCACAGCACCCCCTCCCCACTCCTGCCAGCGGTGAGGTGCAGGCAGAGGACGAGCAAACAGAAGAGGGCTGCTGCTCCCCTCACGGAGGGGCAGGGACAGAGCAGAACAAGTTTGAGAACGACAGAGAACACACAGAAAGCAAACCACAGCTACCCCACCCTGCCCGGCTCCCTTGCCACTGCCAGACCTCTTCCCACAGAGCCAGGCTGCTCCGGGCAGCAAGGGGCCCCTGCTCTCTCCTATAAATAGGCACTATTTCCAAAACATCCTGAGCCAGAGCAGAGCCATCTTTCCTCAGTCCCTATCTGCACAGCCCTGATTAGCGGACAGGAAAGCAACCCTCCCCATTCCCACGGCAACTGCTCCACAGCCACAGTGTTCAGGTCACTGCTGAGGAGCCAAAGCACCAGCCAGCAGAGGCAAAGGCTCTGTTGGGGAAAGCCAGGCTAGCAGAGGGGTGAAACAGCCTCCTCCCCACCAGTACCGCCTCAGACCAGGCACCTTTACTCCCTGCCTTCAAACACAGGACCACTGGATGCAGAACTCATGCAGGGGCGGGCTGCTGAAGGACCCGTGTGGAGCAACAGGCTCACGGGCAGGACTAAGCACTCCAAGGCCAGCCTACACACTCGGGGAGCACAGGCAGCTCCACGATGACTGCAAGCCCACGTGTGGCACCAAGGGCTCCCTTGCTTCCCAACAGCACTGGTAGCTTTCTCCTCCGAATACAGCAGCTGTCAGCTCGCCCTGGGCTCAGACCATGCAGCATCCACGGGGGAAATCACTGCACAGAGCAGACCGAGTAGCCGTGCTCCTCAGGGCTTCAGCTGGGTCCATCCTCAGGGCGTGCAGGGCTGCCTGTGCTCGAGGGGTCAGGTCTGCTGGCTCTCAGCACGCCCCATACCTTTCCTCCTAGCACTCACGTTGTAAGGCTGCCACAAGTAGTGCATCTGATGGAGCCTCCTCAGCCAGCCTGCCATATTTCTGCTTCCATGGCCCGAGTCAGCCCAACGCTCCTGACCTCTCCTGCTTTCCAGATCTGTGCTTCCACAACAAGGCACAGCCAGCAACTGAGACACACGGTGGAGAAGCACAGTCCCAGCCAGCATTCAGGTGCTGGGGGTCTGTCTGAGGTGCTGCCCCTGGCTCTGCTCCCTGATGAATGCCCAGAGTTCAAGTAGTTCACCCAGTGCTTAAGCAATTCCGTGACTAGCAACCAGAACTAGAGACCCGTATGCAGAAACAGGATCCACACTGAGTTTATTTCCTCTCCTTCAGCACAAACCTCCCAAGCAGTATTACCTCTTCAGCCAGTGAAGCTCCACGCACTGGCTGGAGTATTACTGAGAAGGGGAAACATAATCTTCACTCACCTATGAAGCTGGATAGTTTTGAGTGCAACAGTGAGGGTCTTTCCAAGACATCTTTGAACTACCAGCTACAACTAGAAACACATGTCTCCCATCTCATCTTAAACACAGACAGTAGAGAAAAGCTTAAAGCACCTGATGTTCTCTCCTGCTCAGTGCTGCTTCCAGCCACAGCCCTGAACTGTGTCTTCCAAAATAACCATCTGAGGAGGGGAAGAATGCAGCTCTTCACCTGTCCAGGCTTGCAGGGCAGGTGGCTGCTATCAAGAACTAGGCTTTTAATCTACACCCATCACATGAGCCAGGGTAAGGGTAGAGACTAATCTTTGGTGATGACTGGGGTGGTCTGATCCAAGCTAAGCAACACTCAGTGCAGCCTGAGACAGGCCAAAACAGCTCAGGGACACAGCACTGGTAGAGACCACCAGCGTCAGGCAGCCAGCACTCGTATCTCAGGCACCACACACACCATTCACTCTCACACAAACTAGCCAAACCACTGCTCTCCTGAGTCTCCTTCCAAACTCCTTCAGTGCTTCCAGTATGCTTCCCAGTATTTCCACAGAAGCCAAATTTATCATCCCTACTGCGTTAATACTTAGAGCAGTTCAGTGTAGTCAACAATACTGAATTATTTATTTGAAAGCAGTAGCTTGGGGCAAAGAGAAATGAAATAATTTCTAGACCAAGTATCACACATTTCTCCCAAAAGAGAGCCTCTCTGACCCATGCTGTAAAACAGCTTCCATATCTCTATCCAAAGCAGAAGAATGAGACACATTCACACCACGTGATAGGTAGCCCTCACTCTTTTTCCAATTCTGAAAGCTAGAGAGCATGCTAAGCATTTTCCATGCAGTCTCAAGACAATTCCATTTCCTGAAACCACATGCTCAAGGACAGAATGCTGCCAGTGCTGTTCAAGAATAAAATATTCTTTGATGCTGAGGTCAAGCCCACCCACTGCAGGTGCTGCTGGTACCCCCCAACACCCCTTACTCACACTGGCAGCTAACCAGCTAACCAAAGGCACTAACACACCACCTTACCTTATTCTGCTGCACCACAGGCACAAGAACACGCAAATACTGACTTGGCAAGCCCATGCAGTTCTGAAGCAATCTTTCGCTCCTTTTACGAGCCTGCAGTTCTAAACTACCGAAGAGACCTCCTTGTCACCAAGCCTCCTGTGTTGGTAGCCAAATAAAACACGGTTTCTGATCTTCCGAAGTCCAGGAAAGGTGCCAGCTCAGTCCCGGAGGGATGAGGGGACAGTCCCCACAGCAGCAAGGACCCCTTCCCGAGCTCTCATCTACCCCCATTCTGTTCAGCTCCAGAATAAACCCCAAGATTTTCTGAACAAAACTCTGCCATGCTGATGGCCAGAAACACACGGGCAGTACGAAACCCACAGATTTTATATCAAAATAAGTAACACTTCAGGAATGCAGCTTGCTTAGTCATTTCCATATCGATACAAAGCAACTCCAGTTGTTAACTCATTCCAAGCTTCTATGTGTCATGCTGAGGCACGGAGCTCCACCTCATCAGCTATGTGGCCATATAGAGCACAGCCCCTGGACACAGTAAATGTGATCCTGATTTTAATTACATGGCAAAAGAAGTTAAAGTCTAACCCCTGCCATGGGTCCTAAGACTTTTGTACTGATGAGAAAGACAGATCTGGATCTTTCAACTTCCGGTCTTTTTCTGGAGTCATGAAATTCAACTTCTTGGAAGTAAGTTTTTACCCATGCTGGAAAACCCCCACCCTAAAGGCTTTTATACCAGAGGACAGAGGGACAGAACCCACAATGTACTATTTTTAAAGTCATGTTTTTTAACCTGACTCACAGCATCTGAATGCCCAGGTTAGCAACACTGAAAACCGCAGCTGACTCAGACACTACACCACAGGCTGGCTGTGTGCCATGCAGCTTCATGCAAGAGCTAAGACCCAAGGTGGGGACAGAAAAACTCAAACATGAGTTATCCTGAGCCCGTTTCTTGGTGCAACTGTCAGAGGTGAGATTCCAGGGGCTGACATCACCATGCCACGACCACCTTTGTGTTACACGGGCCACTGCAGACAGGCTGTGTGGGGCCAAAACAGGCCACTCAATCCTCTGGAAAAGTCTTGGCAGCATGGAGGCAGCTGTCACAAGAGGTTCAGAGTGTGCAGACCAAGGCAGTGCCAGAAAACCTCTCAGACACACATCAGATAACATGTTCCCAGAGCTACAGGGAATGAACCACATTTGTACCAGAAGACCAAGATCAGAATTTTGCCAAGCAGCAATGCACAGCACTAGGACTCAGCACTCCAGAATAGAGCCTCCAGCCATCAGGGCTGATGCAAGTCCCAGCTGTCAGGAGGAAGAGCTCCCACCACCGCCGGGCCTCTGACAGAGCTGTGCCAGGCGGCTGCCTGCAGCGACAGGCTGCCTTCAGCCGTGTAACTGGTAGAGGGGTCTGAGAACCGGGAAGGCAAGGGGAGGCTGGTCCAGCACGTCAGCCCACGCCCCGTGCCCTGGGGCAGCACTGCCAGAAAGGACCCCTGTAACTACAGGCCTGAGTACCTCCGCGCAACAAAGCACAAATATCCAGCGCTACCTACAACATCGCAGCCTACTAGTAAAGAGTTTTCCCTAATTAGACTGTACAGAATCAGAGTAGTTGAGGTGGGGGAGGACCTCCGGAGGTCACCTTGTGCTCGGCCTGCTCAAGCAGGGCCACCCACAGCAGGTTGCCCAGGGCCGTGTTTGGATGTCTTCTAAGCATCTCCGGGGACACACACACACACACACTTCACAGCCTCTCTGGGCAACCCGGGCCAGTGCCTGGTCACCTCCAGAGCGAAAAAACATCTTCTGATGTTCAGAGGGAACCTCCTGTGTATCAGATTGTGCCCGTCACCTCTGGTCCCGTCTCTGAGCACCGCTGGAAAGAGCCTGGCTGGGTCCTCCTTGCACCCTCGCGCCGGGCGTTCGGTGAGATCCCCCCAACGTCCTCTCCCTCGGGCCGAAGAGGACACGGGACGGCGGCACGACACGAGGTTGTGACTCACGAAAGGCAGCGGCACCGCTTCCCCCGCTCCCGTTCGTTCGCTCCCTGCCCCGTCCGCGGGGGAAACGGTCCAGCCGCAGCC